CTAGAATAGATTAAAAATAATTTTTAAATAAAAATGTCCTTTAGTCTTTTCTCTTAATTATAATGCAAAGATTTTGACGATATTAATTTAGTTTTTCTGTTTGGAGCATTTTTCATTTACACCTTTGTGCAAATTAACTGAAACAAAACGAATAATTCCGTTATTATTTACTTTTTTTTCGTATTTTTCCAATAAAACATGACTCAGTGCACATGTTAGTACTTCGTATGTCCATTCCACGATGTCGTTCTTTGCAGATTGATCACAAATTCTCGATTGGATTTAAATCAGAAGAAATAACGGGTCAGTCTATAGAACTTTGACTTGCTCACTGGTAAGGCTTGCCAGTGTGTCCGTGCAGCGTTACAATTTTCATACGCTTCTTTGGAGTAACGTCCATTGCAGACAATGACCATAGGACAATTAATCGACAGTCCAGACAATAGTGTCTGGGCGTGATGGAAATCTGATGCAATCACAGATGACGCAATATTTTTCAAGGCCAAACAAATTTCATCATACACCGCGAAAATAGATGCCTATTTTTTCACACCACTGCAAATGACCTAATCTGAGGAAAAAAGAAATCGATTACACCCTGTCAATCCAGTGGGTCTAAAATTGACCGTATAGTGAAAGAAAGGAAACTAAAATGGTTGTTTCAATTAATTTGCACAAGGGTGTATGTATGCTCTTATCAAGAAAATCCTTGGATTAATGGATTAATTGAGTATTGGATTAATGGATTGATGGTTTATTGGATTCATGGATTAATGACACCATTTTTATTATCTAGCAAATAATTGGAATAACGGATTATTGGATTAATGGATTATTGGTTTAATGGATTATTGTATAAATGGATTAATGACTTCATTTTTGTTATTTAGTAATTTACAACACATTATATTCTTAAAACCATTCTTTTTTTTCTCTCTTCCTATTTTCTCTTGTCTTTTTTCTTTCTTTCTGTCTCTCTTTCTATCCACAGTGCTTTTTTTTTTCTTCTTTTTTTCTTAAGGAGAAAGAACCATAAAAGAAGAGGAAATAAGAAGACAAAAGATAACGATTGACATTGTATTTAAAATTTTGAAGATCAAAGTTGACTGGAACAAAAAGACAACACCAAAAGACAGTTCCACGGGTGAGAGATGAAAGAGAAAAGACTCTTAGCATGGAACATATGGTTGCATTTAGCCATTTCAATTATAAAATTATGAGACATAACTGCCAATCTAGTACTGCGCTTAAATTCGTGAAGTCGATGTGGCAAAGACGAAAGTTCATGAAAACAATTACCATGAAAATATTTATAGAAAAGGCACAGAAAAGATACGTTACGACGGTGGGAAAAGGACTGAAGCCTAGATGGCATGTCAGGACCAATAATATTGCAGATTCTTTGGATTTTATCAGGAAACTCTAAATACATAGCAAGATTATCAGACCAGATGTGTCAGCAATATTTGATGCATGGACTAATGGTAGACTTATAAATAGATTCAAGCGAGAAAAATTGTCTAGCACAATACAGTGAAGCAACCTTACTAGCAACAGATCTAGCATTTGATTCAATATTATTTTTCTGCTTCATGTCAACGGAAAATGTTAACTCAAAAAGGCGCAACAACTGATGGTTAGCATCAGCCTTATGCTGATGGAAGGCAGAAAGGATTCCTTAAGGTAATTAAAAGAGAGTAATTTCGTTTTTGAATGTTAAAATTAACAAAACTTTCTTTTTTTCTAGTGAATGCCCTTTAATATATCTGATTTTATTGCTCTAATAAAATGTTGAAAAATATGTTATTATTCATTTACTTATCTTAAGCTTCTCCCACTTACTTATTACTTAATAACTTCTTTGTTGTCCTTCTTGACATCTTTTTTTCTGTTTTTCACAGAGTTATTTCATCGTTTTACATCTTTTTTTCATCTTTTTCAAAGGGTTTTTTCATCTTTTACATTTTTTCATCTTTTTCAAAGTGTATTTTCATCTTTTTACATCTTTTTCATCTTTTTACATTTTTTGCATCTTTTTCAAAGGGTTTTTTCATCTTTTTACATCTTTTTCATCTTTTAATATCTTTTCTGCATCTTTTTCACCGGTTTTTTTACATCCTTTTTACATCTCGACAAAGATTATAATCAGGTCAAGAATTCTATTCTGCCACTAGTAGTATATAAACTATATGTGTGCCGCTAAGTAGCATTGCTTGCTCGAGAGACATATAATACTTTTGTTCATCCAATAGAAGACCCAAGAGCCAGTCAAGTTAGAGGGTTACTAAATGAGTTGATTACAAGAGTGTAAAAGAAGGAAGAAGTACGTATTATGAATATATGCACGATAGATAACGGTTGACCCTAGACTTGAAGAAATTATGATCGTAGTGATCGGGAAAGCCTCCTCATTACACTAAGAGAAATAGGGTCAGTATAATATCGACACCAGCGTGAAAGTTGCCATATGGGCCCACTACATAAATAAAACCTAGTGGGGAGGCAGGTAAATAACGCATTCTCTCAGGTGTCTATTCTGTTAAGTAGTAGTTCTGGGGAAGGCGCTCTCTGGGTGAAACTTCCTCCTTACGAATGGAATACAAAGGGAATGTTATAAGAATATGTAGGAAAGAAAGATAACTGTTGACCTTGACTTGAAGAGGTTAAGATTGTAGTGGTCGGGGAAGCATTCTCTCGGGAGACTGTTCAACAGAGTAACAGTCCGGGGGGGGGAGCTGAGTGGAACTTCCTCCTTACGAATGGAATATGAAGATAATAAGGATGATTTGACACTTTGTGCCTAAACTGGTGGAACTAAAGTATTGCAACTGGTTTGAATATTTTTCATGGAAGTAACGAGAGCGTAGCGAGAGGCTTGCAACGATTTGGCCGTGGAACAGGTGTTGTAAAAAGGAAAATAATTCATTACCCGCAAGGCCGTGTAAAAGCTTTTCTGATCAGACTAAAAATAGAAAGCCAGGCCATCCTTCACGCCACCCCATCGCTATTTACTTTTTGCTGCGTTAAAACTTTGAGCAGGCTAAGAAGAAAACGGAAGTGACGTCATATTGAATAAGTCTAACATAAGACGGCGTCGATCTAGATCCTAGGACCTAATGAACCTGTTCTTTGATTGTTTCTTTCTCGCATTATCTTCTTTCCTTGCTTATACAGGGGGTGGGGTCTGCAAATTAGATATACAGTCAGCACTGTAGCAGAATTGTCAATATTATAATATTGGTTCTAGGATTCATTTAATTCATTAAAATCATTTTTAATATTTTTATTTTCATCATTTTTGTTATAATACATTTATTATAATTTTTATTTTGTTATAAATAATAATAATAAATATTTTGCATGTAAAGAAGAGTGTGTGAAGAGGGGGGGCAAACAATTTGAACATTTGACGCATCGATTTGTTTATTATTGAGATGTTTGTATAATCAATGCAACATGTTTTATGCACACGTTTGGTTTTTCACTACTGTACACATACTTTTGCATCTTCTGTTTATACACACACACACACACACACACACACATATATATATATAGATAGAGAGAGAGAGAGAGAGAGAGAAAGAGAGAGAGAGAGGGGAGCATATTTTCATTCAAGTAGGTTTGTTTAAATAATTTAGACGTATTCTATTTGTTTGACTTTTAATCCTTTCAAGTCCACGAATTAATTTCTTGCTGGCTGTAGAAAATTGATTAAGAAAGTATACATTACTACATACAGTGCGTCTAAAATGTAAGTCTAAGTAAGTATTATACCAGTATTAGCGAATTATACCAGTATTAGCGAATTATACCAGTATTAGCGAATTATACCAGTATTAGCGATATTATAATAGTGGTCCTCGGATTCATTTAATACCAGAATTCATTTAATAGTTTTTATTTCCATAATTTTTATTATAATACATTTAATATAATTTTTATTTCTTTTATAAATAATAGTAATAAATGTTTTGCTTGTAAAGAAGATTGTGTGAATGACGGGGGCAAACAATTTGAACATTTCAGGGATCGATATAATCAATACATTAAATTTTGTGCGCCCGTTTTGTCTTTTCATTACTGTATACCTACTTTTGCAACCCCCTGTATTCATTAGTATGATAAATACATCATGTGAATTTCAGGTTTCATAATATCTGTTTTTAATTCTTAAATTTATAACTTATTTGATGGCGTAGATTTTATGATGTAAATCGAGGGCTAGAAATTATATTGTAAATAAATATGTATATTGTAAATCTTATTGTAAATTGAGGAACCAATATGTTTATTATTGAGATGTTTGTATAATCAATACAAACAATTTTGTGCGCCCGTTTTGTCTTTTCATTACTGTATACCTACTTTTGCACCCCCCCCCCTGTATTTCTTTGCTTTCTTTCTCTCTTTTTTTATCTTTTTAATTTCGTTCTCTTTCTTCATGTTATACTCTCTTTCACTTTCTGGCACCCTTTCGCTTTCTCATTATCTCTTTCTTTCTCTCTCTCTCCCCCTCTCTCTCTCTCTCTCTCTCTCTCTCTCTTACTCATTCTCTTTCTCTTTTACCGCTCTCTTTTTACTTCCTATGCTTCTAGCTCTCTTTCACTCACTCTCACTGTTCCTATCTTCCTTTCTCTTCCTCTGTTATCTTTCTCTTTCACTCTGACGCCTTTATATTTTCTCTCTTTCTCTCTCTCTCTCTCTCTCTCTATATATATATATATATATATATATATATATATCGTACTCTATCTCACACTTTCTCTCTCTCTCCTTATCTTTCTCTTTCTCTTTTGCACTCTCTTTTTTCTCATTCTTTCTTTCTATGTTTCTAACTCTCTTTCTCTCCCTCTCTGTCTTTCACTCCTTCTCTCTATTTAACTCCCTCTATCTCCTTCTCTTTCTTTCTTTTTCTTTTTCTCATTATCTCTTTCTTTCTTTCTTCCTTTTATTCTTTCTTTCTTTCTTGATCTCACTCTCTCATAATTTTTTCTCAGCCCGTGTTTATTCTCTGCAGTTTCTTTTGTCCTTTTTCACTTTTCCTTCCTCTCCAAAATCTCCTCCTCCCAATTCAAAACGAACTTTCTTTGAGAGAAGCCACTCCGTTCAACGTAATTCACTTTAGTTACGAAGTAGAACGGTTTTACCCCTTAAGATTTAAACGACGAAAAAAAAAAATGCCACTTTAGCCTCCAGAAAATAAAATTCTCTGCTTTTTTTTTAATTATTGACGCTGATTCGTACTGCTTTGTTGTTATACAAGAGAGAAGACCTTACTGAAATGTTTGTCCTTACCTTATATACTCAATTGGACACACCTGTTTGCCCCTTTCAATCTGGTTCACTGGACTTGAGCACTGGGCGGAAAATCCCATGACGGATTAGTATCGTTTGCTAGCTTATCGGCAATCGCATTTTTTTTTTTTCTCAGATTCCTCCTCACCGACCAATCTCTTCGTTTACTTTTTGCCGCGTTCAAAATTTGAGCAGGTTAAAAAGAAATCAAGCTAAAGTGATTTGCTTTGCCGTAAATCAGTTTATAGTTTCCCTTTATTAGTCACGTTCCTTTTTTCGAAAAATATCAAAATTTTGGCGGGAAGAGGCGAAAAGATGGCGGCTAAGAGAAAAGGAAGAAAGAAAAGAATAATTCTGACAACATCAGCACAGCAATTAAAAGAGTGACATTTAATGTTTGCAGAGAGGAGATAATCATTTTCTATTTTAAGTTGGGGCCAAAACGAGGCTGAAGACAAGTGACTATGCTATTTTTGCTTTTTTAAATCGAAATAAACTAACAGCAATAATACTCATAATTCATATGTCAGATGATAATATTATTATTATTTTATTTCCTTTGATTTCTAGTTTCTTTCTTTCCGGGTCCCGACCGGAGACCTAAGGTCAGAAATGGCATCATGACATTTTCCAGTGAGCAGTTTTGAAAAAAATTACACATATTTTACATAGATAAAACTGTTCACAAGGTGTGGGCTGTACTTGTGAGAACAATTTATTATTATTATTATTACTATTTCCTCTGATTTCTGTTGTCTACTCATTTCCTTCTGGATCCCAACTAGAGACCTTAGGTCAAAAATGGCATCAATGACATTTTCCATTGAACATTTTTGTGAAAAATAAAATAAACCTAAGTCCACACATATTTTACATAGATAAAACTCTTCGTAATGTGTGAGCTGTACTCGTGAGAACATGTTTTTTTTTGTATTTATTTAAATCTTGGGCTACCAGGAATCCCTTCAATGAGTCTATCAGAACTTTTTCCAGTCAATGTCAGTACCTCAACTACAACTGGAATAATTGACGTCTTCATGCGTCATATTTTTTTTTTTTTAGATTTCCATTTCAAGTATTTTGTTAATTTTTTGAAGATCTTGAAAGATACATTACAATCTGAAGTTTGTTTGGATTATTATCCGGGTCCCAACTAGAGACCTAAGGTCAGAAATGGCTTCATGACATAAAAACTAAACCTAAGATTACACACATTTTACATAGATAAATCTCTTTGTAATGTGTCAGCTGTACTTGTGAGTACAATTTTTCGCATTCCTTTAATACATGAGCTACCAGGAATCCCTTCAATAGGTCTATTGAAACCTTTTCCAGTCAATCCGAGGGTTCCAACTACAACTGGAATTATTGATGTCCTCATGTGCCACATTTTTTAGATTTCCATTTCAAGATTCTTGTATTTTGTTAGCTTTTTATAGCGAATAAAACGGCGACTTACCTCGTCAAACCAAACGACAACGTATCGCGTGTATTCTACGACGGAAAATGTGGCGAAAAAGAAAATTACTTACCAAAAAAAGGGCACGTATTCCGCATGACATGATGAAGACGGAATATTTTAGAAACAAGTCAGTCGCTATAAAAGTATTTTGATATGCAAAAATTGAGCGTCCTCTCCCTGTTGTCGACGAATGAAAAAAAATGCTCGGCCGATAAAAGCAAAAGAGAAAATAAAATTGGGGTATTTTTTGGCTACCGCCTTTGTTAGAGAGTGGGTTGTTTTTTTGACTAGTTACGTGCATTGTGATTTGTGAGATAGTACTTGCAAATCGAGTTTTCGGCATTTCTTTCTGCCCCCGATGTTCGAGTCTGAACTTACAGTGATTTATTCTCTGCGTTGTGGAAGTAATCTGCGACAAATGTTTCCTTTGCAATCCCAGATCGCTTACACTTTTTGAAGATTTTCAAAGATCCATTACAAATCTGCAGTGACTGCCATGTCAATAAGAAAGCACGTTCTATTTTTGTGGTCTCTGATCGCAATGTCTGAGTGATTAGCTTTGATTGTTCTGTCCCTGTGTATTGTAAAGTTCTGCGAAATTGTTACAGGTCCTGTAACCGGGTCTGGGTGGTGTTCATACCAGTTTCCTGTAGTGTCCTTCGCGTAAAAGTTTCAGATTTGCCAGTGCAGATATTGACCCAGTTTCACATGCCGAGTTTTATATTCGGTGGAAGTTAATACCCGACACAAGATATTGTTATTATTATTTTTATTTTTATTTCCTTTGGTTTTTTATGGCGTTTACACATTTCCCGCTCAGATACCTAAGGTTAGAAATGGCATCATGACACTTTTCACCGACAAAATTTTTTTTTACATAGATAAAGCACTTCGTAAAGTGTGAGCTGTACTTTTTTGTATCTCTTTGAGACATGGGCTTCCAGGTATCTTTTCAATTAGTCTACTGGAATCTTTTCCAACCAATCCTAAGGCTCCAACTACAATAGGGATGTTGATGTTCCCATGTGCCACATTTTTGAGATTTCTATTTCAAGGTCCTTGTATTTTGACAGCTTTTTGAATATCTTCAAAGATACATTGCAGTCTGCAGGGACTGCCATATCAATAAGGAGGCACTTTTTTTGTTTGTGTACTTTAATAACAATGTCTGGGCGGTTGACTTTGATTGTTCAGTCAGTGTGCATTGTGTAGTCCCATAGAATTGTAACAGGTCCTATCTCCGTAACCGGGTCTGGGTGATGTTCATACAAGTTTCTTTCAGTTTCCTTCCCGTAGAAGTTGCAAATTTTCCAGTGCAGATATTGGCCCACTCTGTCATGCCGGGTTTTATATTCAGTGGGTGCCAATATCGTGAAACCTGATACACGATGATCAATTGTTTCTGGATATTTATCACATAATCTGCATTTTGGGCTAACACAATATTTTAGTATATGTGCTTGATAATTCCTAGTTAACAAGCATTGGTCCTGCGCAGCAAGGATAAAACCTTCAGTTTCCGCTTTCAACCCTGCACTACGTAGCCACTGATGGGTACGGTTTTTGTCTACGTCAGCTTGTTTGGTACGGGCAGAGTATTGGTCATGAAGCGGTTTATCTTGCCATTGTTTCTATATCTGGTCGGTTACATGTGTCTTTTCTTTCTTTTTTAAGTATTTTGCAGCTTCAGTCAGTGTATTGTGCTTTACTTGTATTTCTGGGTCCATTTGAAATTCCATTTTGAATTTTTTGGCTTCCTTTATTACGGAGTAAAGACGCTTACTACTTCCATGTTCTTTGACACATACCATCATCCAGTCTTCTGTAGTTTCCAAGTATCTTTGGAGGCCAATTGTTGTAGTTTTCGGATCTGGGCACATACAGACGATCAACATCAGTTTTGGGATGATGCATGCGGTAGCAAGTGAGAAGCTTTCTCGTTTTCGCGTCCATTCGCTTAATGTCATCTATGGTCCAGTTAAGGACATTAAAGCTGTCTTGCACCACAGGGACAGCCAAGGTGTTTATGGCTGATATTCTGTTTTTTGAGTTTAGCTCGGTATTTAGTACCATGCGTACACGCCTGTAGTACTCCTTTCTTACCTTCTCTTTCATTTGGGTGTGTTTTATGCCATCCCCTTCGCTAATTCCCAGGTACTTATACGCTTCATCTTGTTCCAGTTCCCTAATCTTTGTGACAAAATCTAAATCTATTAAGGGTGTTTCTATAATTCTACCTTACTTTAATGTTACTTATGCACATTCATCTAATCCGAAGTCTATGCCTATGTCGCCACTGAAACTTTTTAAAATATTGAGGAGGCCTTTCAACTCATTATCGTCTTTGGCAAAGAGTTTGAGATCATCCATGTAGTGTAGGTGATTGAATATTTTCTTATTTATTTTGTAACCATAGCTACTGTTGTTCAGTTCATGTGTAAGAGGGATTAAGGACAAACAAAACAGAAGGGGTGACAGTGTGTCTCCTTGAAATATTCCACGTCGGATATTTAGACGTTTGGATATGGCAGTGTCCCTGGTGTGACTAAGGTATAGTTTGGTGCTCCACATTCCCATGCTGTGCTTAAGGAAATTTAATACCACAGGGGAGACTTTGTACATTTCCAAAGTCTTAAGGATCCAAGAATGTGGAACACTATCAAAGGCTTTACGATAATCAATCCACGCTGCACTAAGATTTCTACGTCGTCTCCTGCAATTTTCCAGGATCATTTTATTTATCATTTTATATTTTATTTATTGATCATTGCAGCCATGTGAACCTTTTCTGCATCCCTTCTGTTCCAGCGGAAGAATGCTGTTTGTTTCGAAAAGGGAATAAGTACGGTTCGTCAGTACAGACGTGATCAACTTGTGGAGAGACATGTTATCGGTCTATAATTTTTCGGGTCGTCTGTTTCAGTTGTTTTTGGTATGAGGTATGTAATACCGGGATTTTATTGGGATTATTTACAAGCGTTGACAATATTATTATCATTATTATTATTATTATTATTTCGAACTCAGATATTTCGTCCGAATGATAAAAATCATATCTCAGCTTGTACACGCAGTTTAGAGACACATCGATTTACTCAGCACATGCAGCGCTGACACCTGCGCACTCCCAATGATTCTAGGTATTTGCATGGCGTCTTACGAGGCATAGCGATTCCTGGAAATAGTCCGAAGTGCGCCAACCATATTTGGAGGAGTAAGTAATGGCTGCTCCAATTCCTGCTATGCAGTAAGTACTTATTTAAGACGTTGCATACTGAGAAAGACAATATTCGAAGAGTGCTATTGAACTTCCAACTTCATGATATTAGTTTCCACAGACGATGCGAATTCTGATAGGGAAAAAGTACGCTTATATCTCCAACAAGAACTTGTACAGCAGATGTCAAGAATCTCATTTGTCTTTGTTCATTTTGAAAGTAAAATGGAAACTTCTTGGAAATATTTTGCGAATAGATCCAGAATGCCCAGCTAACAAAGCCAGGGAATTTTACTTTGAAAAAAGTACTTCAAAAAGTTCAGAGGTCATCCAAAAACCACCAAAGTTACAACGCTGAACCGAGACATTCAAAGAACAAGGCAGAAAGATCTTACTTTTTCTTTGGAGAAGTTTAAAATCAAGGAAGGTCTGCAACGAATCCGCAAACTCGCAGAGAACAGAAAAGGCTGGCAAAATATTATCGAATCAGTAGACAATGTCACTGAAGATGAGAGAACGTGTTAATTCATGGCCTCAAATCGAAAGTTTTCATGATGATGATGCTGACAGAATAATTTAATTCCTTTCATTTATTAGATTATTCCCGTTCTTAAATTCTATAATGATGAGACCTTGCTTCTAATCTATCACTACGCTTAACTGCGTAAAGCCTACACCCTTGTGCAAATTAATTGAAACAAAACGAATCATTCCATTATTATTTACTTTATTTTCGTATTTTTCCAATGAAACATGACCCATTGCACATGTTAGTACTTCGTATGTCCATTCCATTCCTTGCAGATTGACCACAGATTCTCGATTGGATAAATAAAATAGTTAACTATTCTTCTCTTGCTGATAGATTTTTTTTTACTACTCTGGCAGTGAAGACTTCTGGGGTTATTGGCCCTCGTTCGATGGCGTTCCTTTGGAGGATTGGCGATTCTATAATTTACAAAATATCTCCTCCATTCATAGATTGCAATTTCTTCAGATGTTTCTCTTTATCGTTTTTATTAAATTCATTTCTACTAATGGAATTTTTTGTTTTATAGTTAATTCCTATATATATTCTTCGACAACATAGTGTTATCCTTATATCGTTGATAGCATCTCTTTCTTTGGATTCTTTCACAGTTGTTCCGATGTAAATCCTCTCATCCACTAGGCACGCCTTTGTTGTCACTATCGCCTGATATAATATATTTTCCTATCGGCAGTTTCCTTGTAACGGACATTTGGTTTTATTTCTACAATCACATTTAATGCTTCTGTAAATGGGTAAGTAAAACGAAGAGAACTGATTTGCGAGGTAGGTAAAAAGATAGATATGCTTTCCAATTAATAAGGAATATGAAGAAGAAAGATTGAAGGAGAGAGTGAAGGAGAGAGAGAATGCGAGAGAAGAACAAAGAGTGAAAGAGAGCGTCATGGAGAGGGAGAAGTTATAAAAGGGAGAGAAATAAAGTAGAGGAGGAGTGAGAAGAAGAGAGAGTTAAAGAGAGGGAGAAGGAGTGAAACGTAAAAAAGAGAGCAAAGGAGAGAGAAAATGAAGGAAATAGAAAAGGAGTGAGAAGAGAGCGATCGAATGGGAGAGAGAGTAAAGGAGATATAATGAATGAAAGAGAAATATATATATATATATATATATATATATATATATATATATATATATATATATTATAAATTAACTGGTTTTTCGCTACACAGTAATAACAATGTTTCAAAAATGGAAGCTAATTTTGTAATTAAATTAAAAACGTTAGTTCCATTTCATCTTCAAGCGAATATTGGAGTAACTTATTTTTTAAATTTACTGAGTTTTAAACGCACACAAAAATTCATAATTCACTGTTTCCAAGGATACAGAGAAATCCAATCATTCAGAAAAGGAGTGGCAGCGTGTTCACTTTTATTAACTTTTGTTGTATCTGTTATTAGTTACATTTATGCTCTGTAAATTTACATTGAGCACTGTCTTGAAAAATAAAAATATCAATAAGAACACCGGATTAGATATCCTACTGTTCTTTCTTTTATATATATATATATATATATATATATATATATATATATATATATATATATATATATAAAAGTGAGAGAGAAACAGACAGAAAGGGTACGTGTGAGAGAAGTAAAGATAACTGGAGAGATTTGAGAGAAAACAGTTTTGATGTTTGATGATGATGATGATGATGATGATGATGATGATGATGATGCCAAGCACAAAAGAATGGCTAGAGCTACTGTTTGGTCCATTTCTCTGATTTTCCTGTCAGGTTTTGTACCACTGTATTTTCGCCAGTTCCGCCTTCGCAATGTTCTCTTCCCAAGGTACCGCCACGTCTCTAGGATCCATTCATGGATGCTCTTGTGCACAAGGGTGATACCAGGGCGATTGCAAGCGCTTGCCAGTCATGAAAGGTCGTATCTCACATGTGCTTGACTTGTTCAGTCTCAGCTACTGCCGATGGTGACTGCTCGTCGCACTTCTCTGCATACTCAAGACTATATTTCTTGTATTGCATTCAGTTATTGTTGAATCTTGCATGATTTCGCTTTCAACCGGAGACCTTGCATTATTGATGCTTTTCATCAAACCGAATCTATCTTACATATCTATAAGTCTACTCCGTCCTGGGTAAGACGATAAACTACGTCCAGCAGCAAGGACTCTGATCAGGACGTTTTCAGTAACATGGAACCACCTCTTAATTGCTGGTGTTCCCAGGTCCACCCTGACCCGGGGTGGTAGCACCTGTTAGGGTCCCAGCTATGGGCAAATAGTTAACAACCAAACTTGTGTAAAAATAGGTTTTAATACCAGAAATACTTTGTAATAAAAAAAAATTATTACCAGCAATAATTTTTGAAGGAATAATTATTATCAGCAATACTTTTAAAAAATACCAGCAATACAAACAGCTATACATTCTTTGGAAAAATATAACCAGCTGTAGATTTCTTCAAGGAAAAATATTCCCAGAAATAGACTTTTGAAGAAAAACATTACCATCAATAAAATATTTGTCGGCATTAAATAATCCATTGAGGTTGATATGCCGTAAAACAAACCAAACCAAACCAAACTATAAGTCTACCATTTTTGCTTTGAATATTGCTGCCACACATGATCTGGTGCTCCAGCTATATATTTAGAAATACTTTATAAAACCCAAGGAAGAATCTGCAATGTTATAGGTCCTGACTTGGCATCTCGGCTTCAGTTTCTTTTCCACTGTCAAAATGTAGCTTCCTTTTACCTTTTCTATAAATACTTTCATGGTAATTGTTCTGCTGAACTCTCCTCTATGGTACTTAAACTCTGTGAATTTAAGCGCAGCACTAGATTGGCAATTAGGTCTCATCATTTTACAGATGAAATGGCTAGATACAACCGTAAGTTCTATGCTAACAGTTTCTTCTTTGGCACTTGTGAAACTCTCTTCTTGGTTTCCAGTCAAGTTTTATCTTCAAAATTTTAAATGCAACGTCAATCTGTCTTCGTAATTTCTGTTCTTTTACTGTTGCATGGGGTGAAAAAAAATTTAACCGCCGTATGACATCAGAGAAAGATAATCTAATTTCGCAAAATATTTTAGTGTAAAGCAACACAGGCTTCTAAAGCGATAGGTTACTGGGCTTTATTCCGATTTTTCCAATTTAGGACATTAATTTCGTATGAGGGTCGAGCAGCTCAGTTCCTAGGAACCAGCAGCCAGACACCTGCACATATGATTTGATTTTATAGCGGTGAAGGCTTTGTGCAGAACCAACCACACTTTTTGAAGGGCTGAATACAGACACCTGGTGGACCGTGTGCCATAAATGTCCCCAAACGACCCTCGGCAAGTTTTGAATTCAGAGTTGTTCTTCTCCAAGACCAGTTGCTATCCAAGGCTATAGAACCCAGTCTGTCCGGCTATTTACCCCCAGGGGATAAGAAGAGGATTCATACCTTTCCCAAGGATATTAGCACGTAAGTGAATGTAATGGATTCAACTGGAATTCGAACTCGGCTCTCTGATTCCTCAATCCGAACCACTAAATATATATATATATATATATATATATATATATATATATATATATATATGTGTGTGTGTGTGTGTGTGTGTGTGTGTGTGTTTTTGCACTTGCACTTTTTGAAGAGACGAATACAGAGAACTGGTGCACTACGCGCCACAAGGGCGTGCCACAAGGTCCCCGAACGATCATCCGCAGGTTTTAGATACAGAATTGTCCTTCTCCTAGACCGGTTGATATCCAAGGCTGTAGAACTGGTGGTGAGAATAGGTATTAGCACGTAAGGGAATATAATGGATTCGACTGGAATTCGAACTCGGCTCTCCGATTCCTCAATCCGAACAGCAATCCATTACTCCACCGTGCCTCCTTGTTGTTGTTGTTGTTGTTGTTGTTCTTCTTCTTCTTCTTCTTCTTCTTCTTCTTCTTCTTCTTCTTCTTCTTCTTCTTCTTGAAATTTGCACGGGGTGGTTTCAAACACTGGAAAGAATTTAAAGTGGGTCTCTGTTAAGTCTCAAGACTTCAGAAATTTAAACACAATCCGCACTATATTTACTGTGCCTAAGTTCGTTGCCTTTTATTTGTTTGTTTTTGGTTTTTGTAACTTTGTTATGCTGGGTTCTATTCCGATGGTATCAAGGTGTTTCTAAAGATTCTTTGGAATCGGACCAATGGCTCCTATGACAATTGGCACAACCTTGGCAACATTCGCCCTCGAATCTGAATAGTTTACAATCTTTTCAACTTTTTTATCAACAATGTAGAGATCCCCCCACATCAACCAACATTAATAAGAATTTCATTTTTTGATCAATATTATATTATCTCGAATTGTGTGAGTCTGAACGAGTTTCACATGCTCATTTTTCTGTACCTGCTCTGGCCTATTTTTGTACCACTTGTCAAAAGTTTGAAATCAGGTACAAACACCAATGGAGAAACAAATATTCTTTGTTATTGCACTTTTTGTATTCTCTCTGTATGAGAATATTTCATAGGTACTTATGATATGTGTCACAGTCTCAGTCTTCTTATACAGACTACAATTATCCGATTTTGTCAGATGGTAAATATTCTTCATATAATATTATCTATCTATCTATCTATCTATCTATCTATCTATCTATATCAGTCTGTTCATATCTATCTAGCTAGCTATCTATCTCAGTCTGTTCATATCTATCTATCTATCTATCTATCTATCTATCTATCTATCTATATCTATGTTCATATCATCTGCTAGCTATCTATCTCAGTATCTATCTATCTATCTATCTATCTATCTATCTATCTATCTATATCTATCTGTTCATCTATCTATCTATCTATCTATCTATATCAGTCTGTTCATATCTATCTATCTATCTATCTATCTATATCTATCTATATCAGTCTGTTCATATCTATCTAGCTAGCTATCTATCTCAGTCTGTTCATATCTATCTATCTATCTATCTATCTATCTATCTATCTATATCAGTCTGTTCATATCTATCTAGCTAGCTATCTATCTCAGTCTGTTCATATCTATCTATCTATCTATCTATCTATCTATCTATCTATCTATCTATCTATCTATCTATATCAGTCTGTTCATATCTATCTAGCTAGCTATCTATCTCAGTCTGTTCATATCTATCTATCTATCTATCTATCTATCTATCTATCTATATCAGTCTGTTCATATCTATCTAGCTAGCTATCTATCTCTCTGTTCTGTTCTATCTATCTATCTATCTATCTATCTATATAGTCTGTTCTATCTATCTATCTATCTATCTCTGTCTATCTTCTATCTATCTATCTATCTATCTATCTATCTATCTATCTATATCAGTCTGTTCATATCTATCTCTATCTATCTATCTATCTATCTATCTATCTATCTATCTATCTATCTATCTATCTATATCAGTCTGTTCATATCTATCTAGCTAGCTATCTATCTCAGTCTGTTCATATCTATCTCATTGTTTATATCTATTTATCTATCTATCTATCTCATTCTGTTCATATCCATCTCATTGTTTATATCTATCTATTTATCTATCTATCTATTCTGTTCATATCTATCTCATTGTTTATATCTATCTATTTATCTATCTATCTATCTCATTCTGTTCATATCTATCTATCTTGGTCTGTTCATATCTATCTATCTATCTATCTATCTATCTATCTATCTATCTATCTATCTCAGTCTCTTCATACCTATCTATCTATCCATCTATCTATTTATTTTATTCTCTTTATTCTTATTTTTGTTATTTTTAGTCACTAATCTTTTATGTGCGTAGTAACTTCAAGATCACATAACAATCTTCCTAAGTATTCTTTCACTCTCGTCAGTATTCTGATTTTAAGAATGTTATTTTCTGAATTATACGAAATGATGATGTAAAATAAGATGATAAATAATGATAATTCCTCATCCCAGACATTTTTTTGCTTATTAGTTCAATAATAATAGTTCAACCAAAAATCTTTTTGTTGTTTTAAAGTCACTACTTCACACACATCATTTCGTCATTTTTTTTTTCATATATTATGATAATTTTGCTAAAAGTTCGGATTTTCTTGACTTTTGAGGTCTACCTCCTGTTTCGTCTATAGCGTGAGGTCTACCTCAATATAACGTGAGGCTTACCTCCCCTTTTGTCTATAGCGTGAGGCCAACCTCCCGTTTCGTCTATAGGGTGAGGCCTACCTCAGTATAGCGTGAGGCCTACCTCCCGTTTCGTCTATAGGGTGAGGCCTACCTCAGTATAGCGTGAGGCCTACATCCCGTTTCGTTTTCGTGAGGCCTCTATAGGCGTGAGGCCTACCTCCCCTCAGGGTAGGCCTACCTCAGTGAGGCTTACATCCCGTTTCGTTTATAACATCGAACTCTAATATAATATTGTATGTCCATACATATTTATTTAAACCTTATATTATCATTTATATATCTATATACTATTTATATTTATATTAAAGGCAAAAGAGGTAAAAATAAACACACTATCAAATACAATATATACATTACTTTTAGCGATAAACACTTCGTATATCAAGAAAATGCGAGGTGTAGATAGTCAACTGTTCTAGTCACATCTTCATCATTTTTGCTGAAAGATGATGAGAAAAATTCCAATGATCCATTCGTGTCATTCCTAGAATCGCATTTATGTCATGGATCTGCTTGCTGAACTGTATCCAGCAGATAGTGTTCTCTTAAAAAGTAGACCTACGCTCTGCACCTGGGTAGACGAGATATTAAGGTAGACCTCACGCTATAGTAGCACCCTTTTTTCTTCAAATAAAAATATTATATACTAGAATGTTTTTGCAACCCGTAAAGAACATGAGGACAATTGCATAGCAAGGAATGACTGAACAACGTGATTAGAAATCAACAATAAAGAGATTGTTTATATACAATAAATACACATGCAAAGATAAACAGAATTTTTGTTGATTTGGTAATTGAGATAATGTTGTGAAGAATGTTCGTGCAGAATTGTGGTAAGTAAATGCTGATGCTTTTGGCTTGTTATTAAAATTAAAATAATTTTTGTTTCTGCGCAGTAAAATATTGAAATGTATTGTTCAACTGTTAGTGTGTTTGCATGTTTTATTTATCAGTCAGAATTTAAGTTGCTAAGAGTTGTTTGCCTTTAATTGATAGGCTAAATTGATGAATGTACAATTACTTTGACGTAGTGAAAATGTTCAGTCTTTAATTGTAGGTGATGAATATTCACGCGAACAATGGTTATTTTGAATGCTGCTTTGAGTTTGTTGAGAAACTTTAAGTGGTTGTGAGTCAGTAAATTGAACAGCGTGGAGTTTGTATGGATCTCCAGGGACCTTAGGCGGGAAAAGGTTCTGTTGTGACTTTGCTACAGTTTTAACCAATAGAAGATTGAATTTTACGGAAACGAAATGTTGATTCGTTAAGGCTTTGTTTTATAGAAGGAAACATTTTTCCGAATCGTTATTATAAAAGACGAACATAGCAAATATGCACCTTTTTTCATTGTTTACGTTTCTGAGATGTCCTTTGGAAGATTGTATCTGACAAAAAATTAAGTACATATGTTGGTTTGACAACCACAACATTATTAAGACGTCTTACACTTCATTTGTTGGACACAACTTCTATTGCACATCTAAAAACACATTCGTGTCCACCTTCACAATATAGGAAAATACTTGTTGACAAAACCAATATACTACACCGCGAAAATAATAAACAAAAACTTCAAGTTCTCGAAGTCCTGTATATCAGAATCAACACTTGACAAAATTTATTACGAGTGTAGCAACAACATATTCTATTGCATTTAACCAACATTTAATTGCTTTTACATTTCTACCAATTTTATGTTGGGACGCTTGTTTTGCAAAAAATCCATACCTACAACGGATAAATTTGAAATTTTAAAATAATTATAGCAGAGCGCGTTCACGTGTGTTTTTAAAAATCACCATCACAACGATCATATTTACAATAAGTTTGTCTTTGTAATTCACCCCTGATGATGATCAAGGAGGAGATTGAAAGTACTTGAGCAGGAAAAAACTACGGCGCCTTCCTTGATGAATTTCATGTTAACAATCAAGAAATTGGTGAGAGAACTAGAAAGGATTATTATAAAAAATAAATAGACATAATATTTCTATCTTATTCAATGAAACATGTTTGAATATATATATATATATATATATATATATGTATGTGTGTGTGTGTGTGTGTGTGTGTGGAGACCCGTTTCAGAATTGTAGAAAAATGCTAATATATTTGAGTACTGTCACTGAAAACTCAATTTTTGTACAAAACCGGCTCCAGGTATTTGAATCATTGTATTCATATATATTAACCAACCAGCAACGTCGAACGAGACGCGCAGTATTCTTTGAATTGGTAGATGGTAATATATCTCCTAGACTGATTGCCAACCAACGCTAAATATTATATTACTACAATTATTTTAAAATTTTAGATATTATAATTATTTTGAAATAATTATAACAGAGCGCGTTTATGCGCGTTTTAAAAATCACCATCACAACAATCACAGTTACAATAAGTTTGTCTTTGTAATTTAGCTCTGAGGATGATCTCGGAGGAGATCGAAAATACTTGGGTAAGAAAAAACTACGGTGCCTTCCTTGATGAATTTCAGCTTAACAATCAAGAAACGGATTAGAGATCTAGAAAGGATTATTATAAAAATAAATAGACATAATATGTCTATTCAATGGAACATGTTACCCATAATTGGCTAAACTTATTATTGATTGAGTTATTTTTGAAGTGAGAAATTGTATTTTGAGGGAAATTATATTATGTCGCCCATTACCACCACAGATGCTATGGTGAACCTCGGACTGTTGTTTTGGATATCTCGAAAGCGCTTGACAGGGTTTGACATACCTGTCTTCTTCACAACTGGAAAGGTCATGGTATTTCTGGATAAATTTTTGAATTAATTCAGTTTTTCTAATGAAATCAAGAAATGAAAGTGACTCTTAATAGCCACTCTTCTAGACCCATTTTGTACTAAAGCAGGTGCCCCCAAGGGCCCTATCTTTGGACCTATTTTGTTCTTAATGATTGACATCAATTCGCAAAATGTTATGTATGATGAGGACACAACTATTTACTCCTGTCTCGATAGTAAGTTCGATCAGTTTGATAAGGTCAAATTGGCAGCTGATCTAAAAAAAATGACGTACGATCTGTTGTTAAATGGGGTAAGGAATGGCTTGTTAATTTTAATACCTCCAAAACTCATTTATCAATCATCTGAGAGACCATTTTCTGCTTTCCATCATCCTGGCTGATGCTAACCTTCAGGATAGTGATTCACCAAGTCTTTCCAGGCAAACATTATTTCAGTGACATGAAGTGTAAAGATTAGAATTAATTGCTAAGTCTGCTGCTGCTTGGAAAGTTGGTCCACTATGTACTGCTAGATAATTCTCTCCAGAATCTCTTACATATTTATAAGTCAACAATTTGTTCATGTTTTGAATATTGCTACCACATATGATCCTGTGCTCCTGTTATATATTTGGGAATTCTTGAAGAACCTGACATCTCAGCTTCAGTCATTTTCCTCATTGCCTTTTTTCTAAATACTTTCATGGTAATTGTTCTGATGAACTTCATTCTATGGTACCCAGACTTTATGAATTTAAGTGCAGTAATAGATTGGCGACAAGATCTCATTATTTTACAGTTGGAATGGTAACATAGAACCATAAGTTCTATGCTGTTTCTTCTATCAATGACAGAATGTGCTACTGGCAGAACAGACCAAAATAAAGGACAACATAGAAGTGATTAAGAGACAAAATGCAGGTGAGCAAGACATGTAGCAAGAAGAAAGGAAATGCTATTGATAATTTTCAGCAATGACCTTCCTGATGGCATCAGTTTTAAACTCGGTATCTATGCTGATAGAACTATTTACTTCTATAAGTCTGATATAGTCAAATTGGAAGCTGATCTCAAAATTACCTGCAATCTGCTGTTAACTGGGGCAAGAAATGATTTGTTAATTTTAAAACCTCCAAAACGAAACTACTCTCTATCAATCATCCGAGAGAACTCTTTCTGCTTTTCGCTAATATGGCTGATGCTAACCTGCAAGAGAGTGATTCTTGCGTCATCTCGGATTAAGTGAAAAGATTATATTGAATCAATTTCTAGGTCTGCTGCTAAGATAGTTGGCGCACTGTGACAATTTTCAATCCATAATATTTCTTATATATATATATATATATATATATATATATATATATATATATATATATATATATATATATTCTCCCGTCGAATTCGACGTATGAGGTCAAGCAGATCAGTTCCCAGAAACCGACAGCCCGACAACAGACCATGAGATTTGATTATAGTAGTGAAGGTTACGTGCAAAACCATCCACACTTTTTGAATGGCCGAATATCTGGTGCACTAAGTGCCACAAGGTCCCCAAACGACCCTCCGCAAGTTTTGAATTCAGAGTTGTTCTTCTCCTAGACCAGTTGCCATCCAAGGCTATAGAACCCAGTCTGTCCTGCTATTTAGCCATAGCTGGAGGGAGAAGAAGAGGATTCACACCTTTCCCAAGGGTATTAGCACGTAAGTGAATGTAATGGATTCGACTGGAATTCGAACTCGGCTCTCCGATTCCTCAATCCAAGCCGCTATCCATCGTATATTGGAGAAACATTTTTTTTTAAATAAAAATGCATCAATGAGCACAAAAGAGACCTCATAAAAAACAACTTAACTAATGCACTTGTCATACATAGAAGTAAATTCAATCACAATTTTTATTTAAAAAATGCTACACTCATAAAAAAACAAAATAACTCACTCAGGAAGAAAATTCTCGAGAGTGTCGCCATTGAATATTATCCAAATATTAATCTACGCCTAGAATTTTTCCCTATTTCACCTTTCCTAACAGAATTACTGCTCTACCAAACAAACGTACACAACTGTATCAAGAAATCAAAAGAGAATGGTTGAATTCGTCAACACAACAATAAAAGCAATATTTCCTCACGTGATAGTACTTGACGTAATTTTCAGTTGACATTATGAATACAATAGCATTTTCTAAATTCTTCCAGTTTCTAAGGACATTTTGTTTTGTTATTAATAGTTACTTTGTTTTAATAAATTCATTTTGTTTTTGCCTTGAAAAAATCCACATTGAACGAAACGCGTCGGCTAATATTACAGTTTTCCTATTGTCTTTTACATTTATAAATGTGTGTGTGTGTATGTGTGTGTGTGTGTATTCAGATATAAATAAAATATATCTGTAAAAAGATAATATGGATCAAGACAAAAGGAAAACTTTTCTTTACCGACGCGTTTCATCTTCTGATGGATTTTATCAAGGCAAATCTAAGGATTTTATCTTGCAAAATAAAAAGGTAAAAATATCGTTAGGCTTTCAAAACTTTTAAATTTAAGAACGCTTATAAATATTCCTCCAACTGTGAAAGTCAAGGTAAACTATGCCGGATAGTAAATTCTATAATTTAGTGCCTAATAAATGAAAATGAGTAAATGTTGCTGTTGAATTTTTTTATTATTTATGAATCAAACATGCAACAGTGTAAAATGGTAGCCAGCAGTACTTGTAGTGAAGTAACATAAAATACTACAACGCAGATGAATATATTATCAATATCGTAGATAATGAATTGTCAAGATAAATTTTACAAACAGATTGATTAATGGTACGCGGAAAAAAACTGTAGATAAACGAAAATAGAAGGAAAAAAAACGGAATGAAAAGAATAAAGACACGGCGAAGGAAAAGAATAAACAAAAATGAAAGAAAACAGACATGAGAAAGAATGAATGAAAATAATAGGAAAAGGAATGAATGAAAAAAACAAAAAATAAATTAAAAGAAGGAGAAAATGAAAGAATATAAGAACAATGAAAGAATGAAAAGAATAAGAAAAAATGAAGAGAGAAAAAGCGAGAGAGAATAAAAAGAACAAGACAAAGAACAAAAGAAAAAGAAGAAGCGAAAAATGAAGGAAAGAGAACAAAGGGAAAAGGAATTAAAATAACAAGATAAAAAGAAAAAAAAAACAAGACAAAAATGTAAGAAAATGGATAAAACAAAGAATAAATGAAAAGAATATAAAATTAAATGAAGGAAAAAGGGAAAAAAATGAATCTAAGAAAAAAGACAGTGAATGAATGAAAATAAAAACCGAGAACGAATGAAAATAATAAGACAAAGAGAGAATAAAAAACATGAAAAAGAAAGAAAGACAGACAGACAGAAAGAAAAGCACAACCCTAAAGGAAAGAGAGAAGGAAAGAAAGAAGGAAAGAATAGAAAGAGATAAACACAAGAACTATATTTTTAAGCCATCTTTTTACGAAAACTAATGAGATTTTTGCAATGATATTTTTTCAACGTAAAAACGCGATTCTCTTCAAAGGAAATATTTATACACTTTATTAACAAAAGGGAGGCCTATTTCGAACGGGGGGGTGTCGAAAACGACATCTGTCATTCTCTTTTAAGAACAAATGATTTTTTTATGGTCGTAACTGAAACCAAACTGCGCTTTCCTCATCTGTCAAGAAAGGACTGACTCAAAAGGAAGAAAAACAAAGAGAAAGAAAGAAAGAAAGAAAGAAAGAAAGAAAGAAAGAAAGAAGAGAATCTGGGGGAAGGAGAAAATTAAGGATGATAGAGAACAAAAGTAAAAAGAATAAAAGGAGGAGTGATGCATCAGAAGAAAGAACAAAAGAAAGAAAGAAAGAAAGAAAGAAAGAAAGAAAGAAAGAAAGAGAAATAAAATAAAAAGGAAGACTGACAAAAGTTAACGGGAAGAAAAAAGACGGAAAATCAAAGAAAAAAGTGAGAAGAAAATAGCAAGAAAAAGAAAGAAAGAAATTGTCAGAAGGAAAAAAAAAAGAGAGAAAATGAAAGAAGAAATGAAAAACGTAAAAATCAAAAGGATAAATAAAAGATTGAGCAGAGATAAATAAAAATGAAAAAAAGTAGATGTGAAGAACAAATAGAAAATAGAAAAAAAGAAAAGAATGAAGAAAAAAGAGAAAGAACGAAAAAAAGAAAAATTATCAGAAGGAAAAGGTAAAAAACGATAAACGAAAGAAAAAAGATAAAACAAAGTAAAAAAGGGTGAATAAAAGAAAGTGGAAAAGCAGAATAAATCTTAAAATAATATTGAATAAAAGAAAAAAAGAAAAAGAAAAGGAACTAAAAAACTGAAGCATGATGGGAAAATAAAGGAAAAAGAAAGAAAGAAAGAAAAAGACGATGAAAGAAAGTAAAAAAAGGGTGAATAAAAGAAAGTGGAAAAGCAGAATAAATCTTAAAATAATATTGAATAAAAGAAAAAAAGAAAGAGAAAAGGAACTAAAAAGCTGAAGCATGATGGGAAAATAAGCGAAAAAAGAAAGAAAGAAAGAAAGAAAAAGACGATGAAAGAAAGTAAAAAAAGGTGAATAAAAGAAAGTGCAAAAGCAGAATAAATCTTAAAATAATGTTGAATAAAAGAAAAAAGAAAGGGAAAAGGAACTAACAAACTGAAGCATGATGGGAAAATAAGGGAAAAAAGAAAGAAAGAACGAAAGAAAGAAGATGAAAGAAAGTAAAAAAAAGTGAATAAAGGAAAGTGGAAAAGCAGAATAAATCTTAAAATAATATTGAATAAAAGAAAAAAGGAAAGTAACTCAAAAACTGAAGCATGATGTGAAAATAGGAGAAAAAAAGAGAAAGAAAGCAAGAACGAATGAATGTGAGAGCCGTTTCGATTTGGCGTTAGTATGTCTTCTCATCTTCAGCAACTTTGTAAATATCATTTCATCAATCTTTTCAAACCTCTCTGCGCTATGTTACCTGACGAAAGTGCCCCGGGTCTTCAAAGCTCTTCAAAGATTTTACGGGAAATTATGCAATTTCATTGATCTTTCTTTGATGCTATTATTCGATGCTTGTACTATGATTGGTCGTCCAATGTCTATAAACATTATTCTCCTATTTTATATTGATAGCAAGAACATTGCTATACTTTACTGTTTCGAAACCTATTAACTCCGGTATTTACATCAAGTCCTTTTCTTGGAGACAATGTTATAACAATCAATGCCCTGAGCCAATAATCCCTATTTTTCTTTTTTACACGAGTCCTCTAACATTAGATGCCCCGGTGGTATAATCTTTATAGTAATTGGAGGCACTTATAAAGTTTTAAATAATAAGTTGCTAACTTTTAATGGTTGACAACCTGAGTGGCATTACTTTCTTCACTGGTCTATGTTAACGAAACAAAATGATTCACATTAAATGTATGAACGCTTGAGTCTTACTTTAATTATCGTTATAGAGATCAGATTTTTACTAAAAGTAAATATAATTTTATTATAATATATAATATAATTTACACAGATATTGAAAGTACAGTAATCCCTGACAACAGGACTAAGAAGGCCTTCCGGATATGAGGAATTGGTTACAAAGTTCGGATATGAGGAATTGGTTACAAAATCCGGATATGAGGAATTGGTTACAAAGTTCGGATATGAGAGGTTATATTTAGATTAAAATAAAAGAGCTAAAATCAGGTTTAACATTTATTTTAAATGTTTTATAGTAAACAAAATAAGCTAATGATGAGTGAAATATAACGGAATTGATTTTAAGGAAAAAAAGAAATAAATTATGCAATGTTAATGTTATGGTGAAATAAGCATTAGCAATTATCCAAAGTAAATTTCCTGAAAAACAGAAATTTCAAATCAGCTACATATCACCGAAATAGTTCAAATATCAGTCATGTGTCATGCGTAATACACGCTTAGGCGATCATGTATCTTGTCCTTCTCCTAGGCCAGTTGCCATCCAAGGCTATAGAACCCAGTCTGCCCTGCTATTTACCCATAGCTGGAGGGAGAAGAAGAGGATTCACACCTGTCCCAAGGGTATTAGCACGTAAGTGAATGTAATGGATTCGACTGGAATTCGGACTCGACTCTCCGATTTCTCAATCCGAGCCGCTATCCATTACTCCACTGTACACATCAACCTCATGTCCGGATATGCGGGATTCCGGATATGAGGAACTCCAAATATGAGGAATTACGGATATGAGGGATTTTACTGTACCATCATTTACGAATGCTCTCTAAATTAATATAAAACTGGACTATTTCTGTTGATTTCCTCCTTTTACTAAATTACGACTGAAATATTGTGGGATACGAAAACTTTAAAAAAGATAGATTATAATAATTAAATAAATATGAACCGAGTTGAAATTAGCTGAAATCTAATTTAAAAAACGATATCATTAAAAACGATACCATTAAAAAACGAAACTATTAAAAAAAAACGAAACCATTAAAAAAAAACGAAACCCTTAAAAAACGATATCATTAAAAACGATACTATTGAGGTAAAATTCACGTTTTAATCCGGTGAAACAAAAATTAAGTTTCCAAAATGTCATATATTTACCATTCCGTCTTCATACTTTATTCATATATATATATATATATATATATATATATATATATATATATATAATATATATATAAAAATTAATATAATTTAAAATTTATGTTAATGGAGGAAGAGTGACAGAGATAGAGATTTTTTTAGATTCCGATAGTGAAATAGAAATCAAATTTGATGGTCAGTTGAGGCATAAAGCTGGTATTCACCACGCAGTGTTGATCTATCTATCTATCTATCTATCTCAATATGTTTATTATCTATTATCTATCTATTTATCTATATATATCTTTATATATATATATGTTTATTATCTATCTATCTATCTCTATATATATATATATATACACACATATATGTTTATCTATCTATCTATATATATATATATATATATATATATATATATATATATATATATGATGAAAGTGAAATATATAAAATGATATAAATAGATTATATCTAGTAGTCAATAAAATGTCATTCGTTATCAACAGTCGTTTTGATTCCTCTCTTTTTATTGTTCTTTTTCCTTAATGTTTTTCTTTTTCTTATTTTTTCACACTCAGTAAATCTCTTGTTTCTTAGTGGCTTTACTGCCTTGCTTGGGTTGAAATTATATATATATTCATTCAGTTATAAAAATATACATAATATATATACATATATCTAATGATGTTTTGGTCTTGGATACGAAACTGAGCAAATATGCGTTTCGTGTAAATATCTGAACGAATAAGAGTGCTTTAGAGGCATAATGTTATCTTACCTTATTGTGATGCTTTTCGTAACCGACCGGTGAGACTAGGTCGGATCTGACAGTGTATCCTCTTACAAAGGGGGTTACAGGTTCAAATCCTGCCGGTGAGTACATATACTTTTATTACGTTTTCTTGATTACGCAGACCTCTAGATGAAATACATACTGTTTAATATAAACGCAGCATCTACTCAAAAACGGGTATCCACTAAAAATAACGTTTGATGTAATATATATATATATATATATATATATATTAACTGATTTAAAATATGTTTTTTCACTACACAGCAATAACCATGTTTCAAAAACTGAAGCTGAAAAATTCAAATTTAATTATATAATTAAATTAAAAGCATTAGTTCTGTTTCATCTTCAAGCGAATTTTGGAATAGCTTATTTAAATCAGTTAATTTATAATATTAATGCTCTGTAAATTTACATTGAGCATTGTTTTGTGAAAATAAAAAATATCAATAAGAACATCGGATTATATATCTTACTGTCATTTCTTTATATATATATATATATATATATATATATATATATATATATATGGGGGAGGGGTAATAAAATCAACTGATAAAATAGGAAAGCTTATTTTTGCAACCGATCTCGTCTCAGACAAAATGCAGAGATTTATTACCAAAAGCCCGGATTTCTACACACAGAAAAGCATCGCCTACAAAATGATGTGTTCAAATATTTTTTTTTTTTTTACAGTAAGGTTCCTCCTATAACAAGACCCGAGAGCCACTCGAGGTAGAGGATTACTTTGAAGGGTAGTTTATATGGATAGGAGGGGAAGATAACGGTTGATTCTCGACTTGAACACTACTTGATTGTAGTGATCGAGGAAACATCCTCTTGGAAGTCTACAGGGCATTGGTTCGCGAGAAGAAACTGTTCGAGTGGAACTTCTCACCAATGGAATACGAACGGAATGGGGGGGGTTGCTACTGTGTAAGTGGAATAGCGGGTCCTAGACGTGAAGGTTAGATCTGACAGGACCAAGGAATCTAGTTCATCCGGGCAAATTTCCATGAAAGTCGCGATAGAGAGAAGAGGTTGGTGGGTGGAATATAATCCTTGTCTAACAAGGAATCTGAGATACTTTTGAACTCTGTTAAGAATGGAAATAAAAGAATAAATAAAAATATTTAAAAAAAAAACGTTCAGCTTTATTGACATGAAAGGAAAATTATGGAAGATGCTCAGTGATATAATTAATAGGAATTTTCATAATAATATATTTGTCAGTTAAATTCATTAATATTGTCTAATAATATTAAATTATATTTGAATTTTCATATATGTATGTGTGCGTGCGCACGTAAGTGTGCATGTAAAATTTTAGATCGCTCTCGTTTTCTAAACACTTTTTTAAACAGCGTAATTATTTTTTGGTTTGTTTGATATTTTCTCTCACTCTCTTTGTCTCTTTCTTTTTTCCCTCTCTATATCTCTTTCTTTTTTTGCTTTCCTTCTTTTTCTTTTTCTCTATTTCTCTCTTCGTCTTTCTTTTTCTTTCTTTTTCTCTCTTTGTTTTTCTTATAAAAAACTATTTCTCTTTTTTTCTCGTAAAAGCTCTTTCTCTCTCTTTATGCTTACATACATACATACATACATGCATACATATATATATATATATATATATATATATGATAAAAAATATATGTTATATTTATGGGTTAAATTTTTATGTGAATATTTGAAATCAACACGCAGTGGCGACAGTCTGTTTCATACTTAAACGTAACCGTCAAGCCGTACGATTGCGTTAAAGCATGGAACAGACTGTCGCCGCTGACTTCAATGGCCCCTTTTATACAATCACCCATTCGGATAAATATTTTGCTTTTTTTCTTTAATTTTTTCTTTAATTTAACTTAAAATTTTTAAGACTGAATTTCACAAAATTCAAGTGTCAAATTTTTTAAGTGTTTGAAATATTTTTTAAAAGTGTGTAAATTACGATGAAACACGTGTGTATATGTGTATGTACGTGCATGCGTCTGTTTATATTAGGGTACGTGCCCAAGCGCTTAGAACGTTCGCTTTCTGGCTATAAGACCCGGGTTCGAATCTCACCACGGTCGATTTATCAGGAAAAAGGCTTTCGGAAGTTTGTACTGTGGGTGTTGAACTAAACTAAACACAAATGTGCCTGAGCATACGAGGGGCCAGATACTGGGCTTGCGTGCGTTTTTTGTTTTTTTTTAAATATCTCTTCGTGTTAGTTTTAAAAATGGCTCCTATGATGGTAATATATTAGATTAAAATTAAATGATGCCTTTTGAAAATGTTTAATAACGTTCGTTCTTATAAAGGAAATCGTGAAAGCACGGCGCCACAGAATTAAAAAGTCTGGAAAATAGACTAAAATCAGCTGTTAAAACTGGGTGCCTCAGTCAGATGTTAAAAAGTTTGGGGAGCTAAATTAAATATTATGTTTTAAATATTCCTGATTCTATATTGTTTTGTCATAAAATGAATATTTTCATATCTGTTTCTCTGTTGTAAACATTTTTTTTGTTTTTATATTAAATGACGTTTTTTTTTTCTGCT